GGGCAAGGAGCAAGCCAAGCAAGACATGACACTTCGGCAACCCCAATTGAATCAAACACATCATTTTTCGGCAAACTCAACACATCCGGCTTGGACAGAAATTTGGAAATGTTCGGCGAAACTTGAAAAAGTTGGTTTCTTAAATTGGCTTGCTAGTGTGCTGCAGCTGAAAATTGCGGTTTCTTAAATTGGCTTGCTAGTGTGCTGCAACTGAAAATTGCGGCTTCTTAATGGTTTGCTAGTGTGCTGCAGCTGAAAATTGCGGTTAAGGCCAATTCCAGGGTCCAAGCAAATGCTTTTGAGACAGCCATGGGCTGGAAGGATTCTAGGGCTGGCTCAACTATTGAGGAAATTGGTTTTGGCCTTCAAACCCCACTGATCCAGCCCCCCACGGATCCAACCCCCAAAACGAGGACAGTGAATGTATGCATGTATGTATGTATGCTCTTCAGACCTCGCTTGCATCAGGGTGGCGTGAAGCTCTTCGTTGGGCGACTCCCGAGAGAGGTCAACAAGTGCTTTGTCTGCGATGGTCAGCTCTTTATTTTTCACAACAAGATTCAGAGGAAGCACGGGGCTGCGTCATGTATTGGTTTTTCTGCCACGAACCCCGCGGTGGGCACAGGGCCGTGGGCTCGAGAGAGGTTTCGTGGCTGAGCCGGGCGGTGCTTGGCATGCGGCAGCTGCCCTCAAAAGAAAAACGCTTACCTTCGGCCACGGTGCCTGGCTGACATGGTTTCTGTCTGTGACCAGGACCCAGCTCGAGGAGTGCTTCGGGGAGTTCGGGGAAGTCCTCGAAGTCTTCATCATCGCCTCCCAGGTGCGACCTGCGCATCGTGCGGGCCTCGGGGTGGCCAGCATTCGGAGGCCGCCAGCGGCGTTGGCTGTTCCTTCGTTCGGATGGCCTCGCCAGAACCTCAAAGGAAGTGCGACAGAATTAGGTAGCCCGGGCCGCTCTGCCAGGATCCAGGCGGCTGAGGAGGCAATCACGGAGCTCCACGAGCAGCGAGTGCCCCTCACGATGCGCACCAACACCGCACACTGCCCACACATTCTTGTCCCTCTCTTGCTGTTGAGGTGCTGATCCCGGAGCAGGCAGACTTGGGGCCGATGCAGGCGCGGGAGCAGAGTGCGGGGAGCAGAGCGTGGGGAGCTTTTGGTGGAGGTCGCGTTCGCCAAGGGTGAGGCGATCCGCCTCGGCGTCGGACTCAGACTCCTACGGCCCGTAGGGCCCGGCCTGAGACGCCCTCTCGCCATGACCAGGTCTTGACGAGAAGGAGGAGATTTTGCCAAGCTTCAAAGAAGCACGACAAAAGGCAGGGTCCGGGCAGGGATTTGCTTTGCTGGAAGCATCTGCTCGTGCGCAGGTGGTGGAGCACCAGGAGAAGAAGCACTTCTTCGAGAAGATGCAGAAGCAGCAAGAGGAGCGCGCGATCCATCGCGCTCTTCGCTTGAAAGCGATCCATCCTGTCGCGTCAGGAGCAGGCCAAGGCCCGCCACGGTTCTGTCACGGCTTCAAAAGAAATGGCTGCTGGTCTGCTGGTGGTTTTTATGTGCGTCTCTTGTCTCTGCAGATTGTGGAGTATCAGCATGCGTTGATGATGCAACACCAGGCCCGGCCCTGAGACCTGTCAGAGCTGTGAGTCTCGTGCGACTCGTGAGTTTCAAAAAAAGGGGTGACCCTGAGTCCCTGAGTGCAAAAAGAGGCCATGCTGCAGCAGATTCAGGAGAAGCCTCGGGAGGACAGCTGAGGGGCCGCCCCCTTTTCTGCGCTGAAGCGGCAGTCTCCCAGGATCTCGTCACCATCGTAAAGGATGGCCAAAGAAATGGCGGTCAGCCTTTCAAGCTGCGGCCCCAGCTGAGAATCATGGGTTCCGGCGCGCCGGGAGCCTTGCGTTGCAGGCAGAGGTGGTGGAGCTTCTGCGATGCCGGATGGCCATGTCCTCATACTTTCGAAATGCTGAAGCTTGGCGTAGGTTGGCGTAGGACGTAGGACCGTGCTTCGCTCACGAGTCTTTGGGGAGCTCGAGGTCGGGCTGCCGGGACTACGACCCCAACCACCACGGCAAGGAGGCCTTAGCCCACTTCGTCTCTGCTTGGAGCTCGGAAGGGTCGCACGCGGGATGCTTTCTCTCTCTTTTCCTCTTCAAAGTCTCTAGGTCGCCAGCACCGAGTACGGCCCTGGCTCTCAGCACTCTCAGCTCTCTTCTCGAGCTGTGGAGCTGTCGGGCTCAGAGGTCACGAGCAGTGGTTCAAGTCTCGATTCCCAAAGCTTCCAGCTCTGCCTGAGAAGCCGAAGGGAATGCCAGAGCCAGGAAGGGGTGGAGGGAAGAGCTGGAAGGAAGATTCAGTGACAGTCGGAGTGGCCAGGATCTCCGGGCCTGATGCCGTCCTCGTCCCAGCTACGGGTCTCCACCAAATCTTAGAGAAGTGGCACGTGTGCACCGTATGTGTGGTGTGCAGGCCAGGAGCTCCGCCACATCCTGGAGGGCCCCCGCACGGGCCCCCGCACGGGCCCCCGCACGGGCCACCCGGAAGCGGCTTGGGTCCCCGCCCTCCCATGGCAATGGGAGGCCCGGGCCCAATCCCTCCTGGCCCTCCGGGACTGCCACCGCATCTGCCACCGCATCTCGGGCCGCCGCCGGGAATGCCACTGCCCGGAATGCCGGGCTCTCAAATTCTCCAACCTAAAGGACCCTCAGCCTCAGCTCAGAGCAGAACTTGGACTCTCCAAGGCCCGGACCCTTCGGACCGCCGCCCGGCGTGCCGCTCCTGCCAGGGCGGGGGCCTTCCTGTACGTGCACACACGTCGCTCTTTGCTGTTTTATCGGGAGGATGCCGCCGCCCTTCCCGCTGATGCATCCTCCCCCAGGTCCGTCCATGCACAATCATGAAAACTCTACCTCTAGCTGCCGCTCTCGCTCTGTCTGTCCGTCCGCCCATCTGTATCTCTCCGTCTCTCTCTCTCACACGTGCGTTTGTATGTGTGTTTTGAAGGTAGGTACTTAGTTATTAGCAGCTAGCACCATGCAGCATGCCGTAGTGGAATTGTGATGTGTGCAGCTTGCGATCTGCATCATTGCAGAGCTTACCACATCGATTCAGGCAGCGAGATTCCTGCGGGAGATGGGGGTGGTGGCCGCGCGAGGCTCAGGGAGTTTTCTGAGGCGAGCTGTTTACAAAGAGACGAATGGATACTGACCACAGCTGCTATAATGCAGCCAACAGAGATCACAACTACACTTCAGATTTGTTTTGCAACTCTTTGCCGCAATGCTGTCGTTATTGAAAGCTTGTCAGACGATTCTCCCTGCTTGTGCTGTGTGTCAGCTGTATGTGGAGCACAAGGTGGACAAGCGACAGTTAGCTTACTTACAACTTAGTTACAGAACTTCGGAAAAGCCTACTAAATAGCAGGTTGTAAGTCCAGTTATAAGTTCCACAGCTTTTTACAACTTATGTAGTGTTTTTTGTTTAATTGTTTTTGTGATTCAGACCCAAAACAGAAGACATGTCCAAGCTCGAAGGTGGACGTGGGAATCGGTTGTTAGTTCAAGCAATTATTCGCGGTAGTCAGGTTGAGTCAGCAGCTGCGGTGGTCTACGAGGGTTCTCAAGACGTAGCGACAAAATGCTAAAACAAGAATACACCGAACAACATTGACACGACTCCGAAACCCGCCATAAGTTTATTCTGATGAGCAACGTCGGTGGTCCGCGCGCTCTGTTTGCGTGCTGCCTGTCTTGGTTAACAGGTGTAGCGTTTGTCGTGAAGAACACAACTGCGGTGGTCAGCGAGGGTTCGTTCCGTGCGAATGCAACATACGTTCCAACACAGATTACGCATGCTTAAGGCTGCATATGTTTAGCGCAAGAATGAGACGACTGAAACGCAGCGCAGAGCTCTCATACTAGCTGAATGTGGCACCCGGTTTAAGCAAGCGTGCCTCTATAGTGTTCCCGAATGCGTAGCAGAAGGGTTCTCGTTTGAAGGTTGGGGGTCTGGGGGTTAGGAGTTGACGCGGAATGCGTGCGCAGCGTTCGCAAGCGTCCGCAAGCGTCCGCGAGTGTCGGATTTGGCTGGGAGGGACGCTCCCGCTGTGGTGCCGCTCTCAGTTTGCACGAAAATGGCGTTTCCGCCACAGTGCCGGTCGCGTTTGGTGACGAGGGTCGTTTCGAAATCGCGGAATTCATT